TGAGTGTGAGGTGGAGGAAGAAAATAGTGATGAGGATGAGATGGAGGAACAAGCTATAGAACAAAGAGATAATATCTTTTATTTTCTTGTTCACTTAGGTGCTTCAATATCTTCAAAATATATTTCAAAATATCTTAACAAACAAAAAAGAAGAGTATCAAGACTTTCAGGTTGGCAATGGGTGCAAGAGACTTTGGTAACTCTAGGTGAAAGTTATAAATTATTTAGAATGGAACCACAAGTTTTTACGAGATTATGTTCTTTATTAGTTAGTAATTATGACATAACATCAACAAGAGAAATATGTGCAGAAGAATCACTTGCAATGTTTCTTTGGACATGTGCACATAATCAATTTAATCGAAATGTGCAAAATCGTTTTAAACATTCGGGAGAAACAGTAAGTAGAAAATTTGGTGAGATTCTTGATGCAATGGTGAGGTTTTCAAGTGACATTATGAAACCACCTGATTATAATTTTACCGAAACTCCCAATAAGATTCTTCTACAAGATAGTAGGTTTTGGCCTCATTTTAAAGGATGTATTGGTGCAATTGATGGTACGCATGTTAAAGCCATGATCCCCGAAGAAGACCTAATACCATTTATAGGTCGCAAAGGCATCCCCATTCAAAATGTGATGGTAGTTTGTAATTTTGACATGATATTTACATTTGTAGTTACAAGGTGGCCTAAATTTACTCATAATGCACGTGTTTTCACCCATACATTGGAAAATCATAAGGATGTGTTTCATCATCCTCCTGATGGTAATAATTTTCTATTTATTTTGTGTTATAGTTTTTAAGCACAATTCTTAATGAATTTTTAAGAAAATTTTTCGTATTTATTATCAATGACTTTCTCTTATATTTTAGGTAAATATTATCTTATTGATGTTGGTTATCCTAATATAAATGGATATTTGGCACCTTATAAAGGAGAAAGGTATCACATTCCTGAATTTAGACGTGGAAGCCAACCAATCAGTTATCAAGAAGTATTCAACCATGCTTATGCTTGTCTTAGAAATGTCATTGAATGATCTATTGGGTGTTGGAAAAATAGGTTTGAAATATTGTTCGGCATGCGAAGTTATTCATTTACAACACAGAAGAAGATAGTAGCTGCAACTATTGCACTTCATAATTATATTAGGCAACATGCAAT